ACGCAAAGCGTTGACCGTCGGGGTCGGGCAGTGGCCGCCCGGCGCTCAGGCGACAGGCTGCGAGCCTGCTAGAGCCTAGGGGCGTCTCTGCGCGGCGCTGGAAGAGCTCCGCAGCGGTGCGCCAGCGCTAGAGGTGGAGGACAAGGACGGCCAACGGAGGCACAGAGCTTGAGGATGGGGACGCGGCGGCTCGGTGGACGCACACGCCCCTCGGCGGCGGTGTGCCCGGACAAGGAGGGGCACCACGAAGATGCTGGGCCTCGTGGGCCGATGGTTTCTTCTTAGGGAGGCCCAAATTTCACTCATCAAGAAAAGCTAATCTACGACTCGCAACAACGTGACCGCGTGGCCTAATGGATAAGGCGCTCGCCTCCGGAGCGGGAGATTGTGGGTTCGAGTCCCATCGTGGTCGACGAATTATTCTTTTAAAAACTTTTTTTTTTATCTTAGGGAAGCATTGCTGTGCGCTGTCTACATTTCAGTGGCGGTCGAGAATTATTTTTTTAACCCTTTTTTTATTTTTGGGGAAATATCGCTCCCTATAGTAGAGTATATGAGTGGCGGTTGTCACGTGTTAACAAAATTTTGATGATAAAAACCTGCTTAGGAGCTGTATCATTTTAGGTAGTCTAGCAAAGGGCTTATTCGCTTGTCCTATAAGCACTGGCGAAGAATGGCCCGTGACCTAATGCCATTAGCCCATTACTCACCGTGTAATGTCCCCGCAGCCGCAGAGTGCTGTGTGCCATCCTGTCCGGTGGGATTTCCAGTGCACTTGTTGACGAACTGATCGTATCCAACGTCACAAGTGAAGTGAAGCTTATGGAAACCCTTGTTAGTGGTCTGGTGGATGAATTTTAGGATCGGAACTGCGCGCATGTGCTGAGGACTTTTTGTTATCTTGCCGTATTTTCAAACCATGACGTATTATGAATCACAGAATGATCGAGGTTTAGTTTGGTTTTGCTATCTGTCATCAGTTATCAGCGTGCTGAAAGTTTCTTATGTACAAGTCGATTGATGGTATCGTCGGATTTTCTCGGCATCATTTGTCAAAAAAATCTTCCTATTCACTAAAAGATAATTGACTTTATTTACCAGTTTACCTATAGCGGTAATAGATTAGGATGGATTCACATCAGAGTGGATGGAAGCGTCGTCCGCTTTTGCTGGCACTGCACTAGCCATGATGGATGGGCATGTTTTGTGAATAACACTTATGAACGCACGCACATACAATCTAGCGAATAGACACATTGCCTATACCACTGAATCTATAGAGGTAATAGATGAGGATGAAATCATGTCAGAGTGGATGGCAGCGGCGACGGCTTTTGCTATGGCACTGCACTAGCCATAATTAAGGACCAACCGGATGGTTACCTTGCCTATCATTGAACCAATAGAGGTAATAGATGAGGATTGGTTTCATGTCAGCGTGGATAGCTGGGGTGGCAGTTTTTGCTATGGCGCTGCACTAGCCATAATCAAGGACCAACTTTTGTGAATGAACCCTTATGAAGGTACACACACTCTACTGAATAGGCATGTCGCCCACCACTAAAACAAAAACACCGCTGAATCATAGAACAAATCTAGAAAAATACGAGCACACGTGTCAAGTTGAGAATTTGAAATAGAGTAATAGGCAGGTTCCACTACGTGGAACCCAATTAGTTAAGCTATGCTCAGTTGACTTCGAGGATCATGTTAGGTGGTGTTTTTTTTTTGAAAGAGTGTTAGGTGGTGGAATAGAGCCATCTAGGATACTAGTATTTATCAGTTATCACAAGATGCCATGTTTGAGTTATTGGCTCTGTTCGTTGGTTGGTTTCTGGGCTGATAAGCTTAGCTGGTGCTGATTTGCTGTGAGAGGGAAATACTATTGGCTGGCTGATAAGCCCTGACTGAAACCAACAAGCAAACAGGCTGATTGACACAAGTGAGGATCGAACTAACAAGAACGGGGACATAAATGTTAACATTAGGGTAGCCAATTAGTAGACGTTTGGAATGAATAAAGGAGGCCAAATATGAATGATTTTGCTAACTTACATATTTGTAATTCAGTGTCCGACTTAGGGTCGAGTTTGTTGTTTGCGTACCATAGCGCATATATGGATCGTATCAACTCAACCAGATCAGGATCAGGTGCATGTGTTGTTCGGTTGTTTGTATATTATTAGTTTGGCTGATAAGAGACGTTGTTTGGTTCCCTGAGTTAAGATATGCAATATGTTGCATGAGACAAACATAATACAAGACCATCACCAAAATATTTATTTGGTGTAGGTACACTCCTATAGCCCTTGGTTTATCTTATCAAACCTTGAAATTCTTTAAAATGAATTAATATCACTTGATATATATGTATGGTGTGGCGTGTCGGACGAGCACTCTGGAGCCTTGGAGACGCGAGTTTAAAGAAAATTTTAGTCACCTTCTCAGGAGGTGCCACCCGTAGAATTTTCAGTACAGAGCGGTACTTGTTTACGGATGCGGATCCATCCAAAGTCACAAGTGGGTTTATGGAAATCTTTGTGTTAGTGGGTAAGTGTTTAGAGTGGTTGAAAAAATTTGTTATCTTAACCCACATATTTCCAACCACATCGTACGTGCATGCATGTAATTCCACAATGATATCAGGCACGTGATTAATTATATTACGACACCATGTAAACAAACAGTTAGTGGAACTGTAACAAGAAGACATAGATACATTCTACGTAAGCCATCGGTAGACTAGCATCGTGGATGCCTACTCAAACTACACAGTGTGAGCGAGCTAGTGATGGATGGTGAATTGTGGAGCAGAGCGTGCAAGCAGTCCACTACTGCGCAGTTACCTTTATGACAGTATAAATTGGTGCCCTGGCAAGTGTATTAGAGCACACAAGCTAGCTAAGCAGCTCGATCGAGAGAACACACTTGGTCACTAGCTAGCAAAATAAACATTGCAATGGCTTCCCGTGCCTTTGCTACACTGCTTGCAGTGCTAGCATTTGTGGGCTTTGCTTCAGTTCCCCGTGGTCTGGCAACTGACCCGACCCAGCTCCAGGACTTCTGTGTTGCTGATAACAACAGCCCTGGTAAATAAATAAATATATTATTACTATGGCTTGCTATATGTACGAGTAGGAGTAGTTTGTTCAATTCAGTATATTTTCTAGACATGTATGTATGTATGTATGTATGTATGTATGCGTGCAAAGGCAAGTCATGTGTATGATCTGCGATGCCTGTACTGACATGCATGGGTGGGCGTGTGCATGCAGTGCTGGTGAATGGGGTGGTGTGCAAGAACCCGAACGTGGTGAAGGCAAACGACTTCTTTTTCCACATCGTGCCGGCGGCACCAAACGGGCAGGGCTCCGGCGTGGCGCCGGTGGCGGTGACCGAGATCCCGGGGCTGAACACGCTGGGCATCTCGCTGGCGCGCATCGACTTCGTCCCCGGCGGGCAGAACCCGCCGCACACGCACCCTCGTGGGTCGGAGATCCTGACGGTGATCCAGGGCACGCTCCTGGTGGGCTTCGTCACCTCCAACCAGCTGCTCAACAACACGCTCTTCACCCAGCAGCTGGGCGTGGGCGACGTGTTCGTGTTCCCGCAGGGGCTCATCCACTTCCAGCTCAACAACGGAAAGAGCCCCGCCGTGGCCATCGCCGCGCTCAGCAGCCAGAACCCCGGCACCATCACCATCGCCAACGCCGTGTTCGGGGCCAAGCCGCCCATCCTGGACGACATCCTCGCCAGGGCCTTCATGCTCGAGAAGGCCACCGTCGACTGGGTCCAGCAGGCGTTCGGCGCGGCACCGGTGGCAGGAGGCGGCGGCGGCCTGCCCGGTGGCGGTGACCTACCGGGTGGCGGCGGCTATCCTGGCGGCAACGGTTATCCGGGGTACCCCGGCCGTACCTGATCGGTACGGTGGTGACTCGACGGCGGCGCCAAGCATGCATGCTGCACAAGTGCAGCCGAGTGCGTGGATCAGGCCGCCATACACAAAGTATATATACATAGTACCTCAAGTCCTCAAACATGAGGCCACGTGAAGTGAAGGTTATACTTATACGTATGAATTCGGTTGTAATGGTCAGGTCAGGTGTACCACACACCTTTACTAGCTATTCAGTGTTTGATCTAGTACTGGTAGTACTATTGCACTAGCCGCGCTTTTATATGTTGTACTCTGCTCCGTTCTAAACTATATAATTCACTTTGTCATTATCCCAAGCTAAACTTCAATTTTGACCCAGTACTGGCCCCATTCTAAGCTATAATTTACTTCCGTTTTGTCCCAAATTGAACGTATATTTTGACCTAGTTCGTAGTAAGATGCACCAACATGGAGGCGGGTTCTCGCGCAGCGGACGTTTGCCACTTTGCCAGCGCACGACGCTCAACGAACCACTTCAGTGGCGCGGCCGGCCTGCGTATCCATGAGCAGCGGAAGCAGTCTACACACGCGATCGCCGTAGACTTTGCTAAACCAGGCACGCGGCGTGCCATGGTGTCGACTCCGGCAGCGACATCACCTGTCAACTACTGATGCGTGCCACATGGCCATGCGCCAAAATTATGCCGGAGACTTGGCTGATTAGGCATCCAGCAAACGTTCACGTTCGCTGATTAGTGTAACCGCAACTGGTCCCTCTTTCCAGATAATTGGAGGGCTCATATTTTCTCAACTCCAGTTTGTTGGCAGAAACTGGACACACAAAAAACAATTTATTCCCTTCAATGGCCAAACAATTACATATGTGACCGGGTGATCCACGTCGCAAAGTTCATACAAGGCGCAGCATTATTCTGTGATATCGCGTAACTCCAGAGAGCAGATAGAGTTGCAGTAGCGAGCAGATGTGTTATGCCACTGTCACAAGGCAGATAATGAGTAGTATTTGAGTTTTGATGATCTCATTAGCAAGGTCCATGCTTTGGTGTTAGAGGTGAACAGAGGCTCCCAATGTAATAAGCAGCAGAAACCAAGCTGTAGCTGCCTACTCTGCAGGCTTCCTCTCATTGATGTGCGCTGCAATGAATGATATGCGTTCTTTCAAACTCGCAATGCTATGATCTTGACAAAACACCTTTGGAGCTGCCATTGAGACAACCAAGAAACATATCAGCAGACAGCAGGGGTGTAGATCGTAGAATATGAAGAGCATACTATGTTAGTTAGCTTTTAAACCCAGCTATCCTCTACCAATGCCAGATATCAATCAATAGTAGTAAACTTGAACTACATCTGCAGAATGGTGTGGATTGAAATAACAATACTTGAAGCATTTTTTCACCTACTGGTCATGAACTAAGGAGAGTTTTCTGAATAAAGTTTTCAGCAAGGTAAGACAGACCTGGGGACAGTGCCTTGACGGCGCAAGTCATATTCTGTTGCTTGTCGAAGGGCCCTAGCAAATGCTTTGAAAGATGCCTCAATGATATGGTGTGAGTTTTTCCCAGCAAGCTTCAAAAGACAATATGGAGCGATATAAGGTGATAGGGGCAGGGTCATGCAAATTAGCTATAAAATATAGAGAAAACTCAACCATCTCGTCCTTATGCTCAACTATATCCATAGTGAAGAGAATAATAACTAACAATTTGTTTCAGCTTATTAAAAAAACAAATGAGGTGGTTAAAATTTGCATATCCATAGTGAAGAGAAGTTAAAACATCGACAACATGACCATTGTGATATGTCCAATAAAATAACTTAAACTAACATGAACCAAAAATGGCAAACAAATATATGATAAAATTTAACAGAACAGCAATCGTATTTTTTTTCAATTTGTATGTGATAGATGAATATGAAAAACTTCATACACAAACAAAAACCTAATAAACAGCCTGAATGTTAGTGATGAAGTATCAATAAATGCATATGAACGGGCCTCTAGTAATAGTATATGCTCATGAATACATGGAAATCCAAAAACAGAGAACTAGGTGATTGAGCATTTCTTAAGTGTAGAGCATGCCAGACATGTGCAACTCAGGTACAAGCCCACACAGCATTTGAGGCTTATGAATGCATAAATGGCACATATATTGGCACATAGAGTCAATGCAAAATCACACATTTATAGTGTGTAAATACAGCAAGAGAATGCAACTTACCAGTATAACCTCAACCGCTGCCTCATCGAGGGGTGCTGTAAAATGCCCAAATCAGTTAATTCATTTTCGATCACCAAGTGCTTCAAGTAGTGCCTGCATAGACAATAAGAGAATATCATCTCATTGATTGTCTGCCTATCTATGCTGATGCTGATTGCATGGAATTGAATTACAGGTGATTAAGCAAAAGTCAAAAACTAAAAAAAAAAAATTGGTGATTCAGTTTAAGTTTAGTACAAAAGTTGGGAAAGGAAACTATATGGATGTCCTAACCTCAAGTTAATAATGATCCATACAAATGCATCTAGAGGTAAAAGGGAGAAATGTTCTTGGAAAGTAATAATCACCGTTCCAATTGCCAAAGCAATGTCCTCATTTGAGTGATGATCATCAATATGCGTGTCACCTGTTGCCTTCACGTACACATCAAAGAGTCCATGTGATGCCAGCTGCTGCAAGTTTTAAGCTCAAAGAGTCAAAGTTAATGGCCAACTTTGACTGAGAAAAGCATACTTATCTAACTCATTTAGAACCTTCTATTTTGAACCACATGACATAAGTACAATAGAATAGAGACCATTAAAGAGCAGCAGCCTGTTCACAAATAAATGCCTTAAAAGGGAATATAATGGAAATAGGTGGCCTTTTTACACGAATATTTTCTTTCTTGCTTTGGTTTATTTTAGTATTTACAGTTATTTCTCTTCACAAGTGCTAGTCACTCACTCACGTACAGTAATCATTTCTGTCACCTGTATGGAATAACCAGAGGCATACATCCCACTATCTACATTGGTTGATTGGTGGAAGAGAAGTAGCACTCTCGCCTTGGATCACATCATACTAGGAAAAGGAAAATTGAAACAGGTATTTTGCGAAGTAATTGCTTGATAGCACAGTCCCAAGAGTGACCACCTGCAACACGTGGAACTAGAAAAGTGGTAGAGTTTTCCACGTCAGGATGGCCTCAAGTTCTCATGGTACAATACATCACTTTCTAAAAAAATGACTGTCCTACTGGCCCTCTTAAACATATTCTTAAGTTAAGAGCAGTATACAAAAAGACTTTTCCTATCAGAAGATGCTTCCGTAAGTCCACTTTATGGATTTGATCAAGATACTTTCATGTTAACTACACGGCTTTGATTTTCTCCCCTTTTGCACAAAAAGGCCTAAAGTTCCCATTCCCCTCATACATGGACACTAGAAATCACAAAGAAAGGAACCACAAGCATATTATGTCTGTACAGATACCTCCAATTCCCTAATTACTTGTACAACGCAGATAAAGTATACTCACATCAAGCATGTGATCCAAGAACGGTATCCCTGTGCTACAATCAGCGACACCAGTGCCATCGAGGTTGATCTTCACCTGCACATTTGTCTCCTTGGTCACCCTCTTAACCTCTCCAATCCTAGAAGATCCTGAAGATTTTGAACGCAATCATAAAAAAAATGTGCGTGAAATAAATACAGCCAGTCGAAATAGCTAGTAGAAGAACTATGAAGTGTTGGGCACAGCTAAGGAACAAATCAAACACGAAGCAGCACAGAGAGCAAAGAATTCCACTACCAAACACATGAACTACCTATAGAGTCTCCGGGTGCGGTAGGGGAGCCGTTGCCGCCGACGCCGGCGGCGGCCATGGCAGGCGACGGCTTGAGACGAAGCGAGAAACCGAGCGGCCTAGCGGGGAAAGCAGGGACCCGACCGATAACCCACCCCGAGGTTCTGGGAATCGGGGAAGCCGGCGTGGAGGGTAGGCGGGTGGGGCAGGTTGAGACGAACCGCGCGGTGGTCATCGCCGGCGGCGCCGCGGATGGTTTGCTTGGTGGCAGACTGGCAGTGGACAGCGGAGTCGGGAGTTGGGGGTGTGTGGACTCGCGTGCATTGGGCCTTGGGTGGTGTAGAAAAGCAGGTTTGCTTAGTTGGGCCGGCTGATGGTTAATTTTCTGGGCCATCCGAGGAAAAGACTTTATTGGGCCCGCGCTTCTAAGTTCTCTAGGCTTATTTCTATTTCGATAATAATACGTTTAAAACGTCCAGACGGACGGATGCCTCCGTCCGCTCATTCCCGCACGCGCTATTTGCCTAGTAATCCTACCCACTCATCATGTCCGCGCACCCCAATGCTCACAGCGTCTTTTTCCTCCCTGCCTCGCCGACTCGTCGTGCCCATCCGCCCACCCCACTTCGCCTCGTCGTCGCAGGTCCCCCGCCACACCGAGCCCCATCCCCTGTGGCCTCCTCTGTGCTGCCTTCTCCACGCGGCATTCCTCACCAGGCTCAGTATGCCCCGCTCGCCTCCACCACACTGCCTCCTCGCCGTGGCTGGCCCGCTCGCCGCAACCACCTCCACCGAGCCGGTGAGCCTCCATGACAGAAGGTCCAGCAAACAGACGAGGGCGATGAGATTCGTGTGACACAGCACCCGTCGGCGAGTTGCTCGTGCCGCTACCGCACAGCGAGGTCCATGCGCCGCCGTCGATTTGTCCAAGCAAAACCCATGTTACAAGAGTACGTTTCAAGTGTTTCAGATGTTTCATCTGGATGTTGCAAGTGTTTCATCTTGATGTTGCAAAAGTAGATCGAAATGTTGCACATGTTGAAGTGGCTATACACGTATGTTTCGAGTGTATGTTCTAAATGTTTCATCTCCCTTTCCAGACGTATGTTTGTAAGTGTTTCCTGTGTATGTTGCATATGTTTTCACACATATAAAGTGTTGTGTTTTCAGGTATTTTTGCAAGTGTTTCATACGCATGTTTTGAGTGTTTCAGCTATTTCGTACCTATGTTGCAAGTGTTTCATCTAGATGTTTCAAAGATAGATATGGTGTTGCAACTAGTGTTTCAGATACATGTGTTCATGTGTTTCATCTGCCTTCAGACGTAAGTTACAAGTGTTGCATCCGGATGTTTCAAAAGCAGATTGGGTGTTGCACCTCTGTCTATGCTTTTTTTTCTGCCCCACATTCACCTCGGTGTCTCCTCCTCCTCCGGCGCCGGCTAGGCATCCGCCCCCCCCCCCTCTAATGGATGCTGGCATAGCCACCTGCTGTAGTCACCTGCAGCAGCTGCTGGCCACGTGCATGCACGTGAGAAAGCGGAGGGGCGCGAGCGGGAACTCCTCACATGCAATCGAACGCGCGCGGGCCCTGTGTAGGCGAGCGCGGGATGGAGGTGCGCAGGGAGAGACGGAGTGCAGGTGGGGGCGCCCGTCTGGACGTTAGAACGCTAACACTGCCATTTATATTTTCAATTCCATATTTCCTCTCCAAAAAAATCATTATTGTGATTTCAATTTTTCTTCAAATAATAGTAAATACACAGGCGTTACACATCCTACTCCTATAGATCCTCCAAAAAAAATAAAGTCATATGTAAAAATATGATCACCCACATCAAATTGATAGCTTAACCCGAGTGAATAGAGTTTACCTTAAAAAACTAACCACTTGAGCACATAGCTTGCCAAATTATTTTATTTAATAATAAATCAAAATCTTCCTTGAACTTGAAATGGGATATCAAAGAAATAATCTGTCTCTAGAAGATCAACCTATGCATGCTGGCACGCGGTTTTAGATTAGACACTGAAATAAAACGTTCACGTGATATATATTTGAACACTACTCCTATTTGTAATAATTCTTTTATAGTATTATCAATAAAAACAGAAGAAAGAAAGCCGAAATAGTTATCTAGGAAAAGCTACATGCAACTGTTTTGTCGGTGCATGATGATTACAGAAAAGCAAATATAGCAACCGATGATAACCCTCATCATTACACTCATTATTATCGAGCCAAATAACCCGTCCTACTCCAACTTGTCCTTTGCCTCTCAGAGGAGGGAGCGGTCTGCAGTAGCCTTTTCTCATTTCTGGGGCCTTGTTTAGATCCATCAAAATTCCAAGTTTTTTCACTATTTCTCCATCATATCAATTTTTGGACACATACATGGAGCATTAAATGTAGGTAAAAAAAATAATTAATTGTACAGTTTGGTTGTAAATCACGAGACGAATCTTTTGAGCCTAGTTAGTCTATGATCGAACAAAGTTTGTCAAATACAAATGAAACGTGCTACAGTGTCCGGATTGCAAAAATTTGCAATCTAAACAGGGTCTGGGTGTGAGGAAATTGAAGGCGAGGATAGAGATTGCCACCAATTCAAGGTGTATTTATTGGAACAGTTGGACCAAATTGACGCACACAACAGCACAGCACACATAGGCACAGCACAAAAGCAGATAGACTAGGAATTGTTTTTTGAAATATACCATCTCCTGTTTCCAAACACTTGCGTTTTTTTTACAACGACACACTCTCCTAAACGTAACTTTGACGAGTATTTTCTATTTCAAAATATAAATAAACATCTTAACAGATTTATGCATATCACCCTCAAACGGAAAAAGTTTCACTCCAGATTCGTATTCTGAACATCAACTATACTAGCAGAGTATCCTCTCCGTCCTAGAAAGAATGCAATTCTAACACAGAGCAATGTTTTGGTATCTTAACTTTGACCAATTATAAATAAAGAAGTATTGATATTTATGATATCAATAAATATTATTAGTTTGATTACGAAATATATTTTCATAATAAATTGATTTAGACCTACAAGTACGATTACTATTTACTAAAAACTTAGTCAAACGTGAATCAATTTAACTGGCACGCAACCTATATATATATATATATATATAGTTGCATTCTTTGGGACATAGGAGTATTTACAAAGAATAGAGAATAAAGAGTGCGGAGTATAGACAATGGGACCAAGCCAAGGGAGGACGAAGATCTTCGATGCATGGATTTGGTGGATGCTTAGTTGCTTATATCAGCTGGTTTGATAAACGTGCATGTGTTTTGTTCCTCTGTACAGTTCAGTAGGCCTAGGAGGCAAAGCATAGAGCATGGACATGGATGGATAAGTGGTGGGCCCACCCTAGCCTAACTCTCTACTTCCTTCCCTCATTAAATCCCTAAAAACGACCCCTCCCCCCATCATCTGCATAGATTTTTCAACCAGGAACCACTCTGCATTCATGGAACCATTTATTATTGCGCGGGCGTATTATTGAAGACTTGTACTTTTCCCTGCTAGTACCTGCTGCTATAGACTCCTCTCCTCCTCGGCTGGTCTGCTGCTCTGCTGATCCTGTGCGGTGTGTGAGTGAACAGGATGCAGATGATGCGTGCTACTCCTGCTGCTTTGTCAAACGATGACAATCACTCTCTGCATCAGCATGACACCCCCAATCCGTGCAGGTGCATGCACCTAATCATCATCATTTAATAATACCCGGAGGTTGGGCTGACTTGCAAGCTTCGAGCTCGACGAGTCTGCAGAGAATTCGCAACAACACGTCCATGCAGATGACGGAGAAAACCCATCGAGTACATACACGACCCTCTTGGCTTAGCCCTCGTTTAGTTCGCGAAATTTGGATTTTGGGGTTACTGTAGCACGTTCGTTTTTATTTAGCAAATAGTGTTCAAACATGGACTAATTAGGCTCAAAACGTTCGTCTCGTAATTTCCCACCAAACTGTGCAATTAGTTTTTCTTTTCGTCTACATTTAATGCTCCATGCATGGGCCATAAATATTCGATGTGACAGATACTGTAGCAACTTTTTGGATATTTGTTGTGAACTAAACACGGCGTTACTGTCAAGCACACTGTAGCTGTGCGTGACTTATTGTGCCAGAGGACAGTTAGCAACTATTGCCGTGCAATTTAGTGTCTGTTTAGTTCCCAAAATTTTGTAAATTTTTTCAAGATTTCCCGTCACATCGAATCTTTGGATGCATGCATGAAACATTAAATATAAATAAAAAAATAAAACTAATTACATAGTTTAGACGAAATTCACGAGACGAATCTTTTAAGTCTAATTAGACTATGATTAGATACTAATTGCTAAATAACAACGAAAGTGCTACGATATCATTTTCCAAAAAAATTCCCCAACTAAACGGGGCCTTAATTAATAATGTAATACAGCAGCGATAGTAATCGTTGCGACGAAAATAAGATCCGGCACCGCCGTACACCGAAACTGCTACCACCGGTACTGTACGTAACGACTTTACTGCCGCAGTTTTTCTCCCAAAACCACTGCACATTACGCCATGGCAGTTTTGTGGCACAAGTACAGGAATTGACATTCGGAACACGGACCTGTCCAAAGGTTTGGGCTCTTTTCAGCTAGCTAAAATAAAAAAAACAGTTGACGTTGATGTTGATTTATTGTGAGAAAAAAATACTATTATTTTAATAAAAAGATACGGCTGATAAGTTCGGCCGAGCGTGTCCTTGCCAGGCGCATGCAAAGCAGCCAGCCGTTGTAGGATTTCACAGGATTAACTGCGCAAATTGTACAGTGGCAGGTACCGGAGACTGAGCTACACAGCTGCGGCTGCAGTGATTCTTCAGATTTGTGCTCCTCTGATTATATTCCTGCTCGTCCTTGCAGCAGTAATGGCGTTCAATCGGTTGCGTCGCATGCATCTGCGATACGCTGCTTGCTCTTTGGTCGCAGGAGGGCCCTCGAGCTCCTCCCCTCCTTGATTCTGGAAGGTCGATGATGGAGCTAGCTACACGATTTGCTTGGGAAACTGAACTAATGCT